CTAATAAAAGGACAATTATATTTTCCTAAAACAATGATTCTCAAGCTAGGCTGCCTGGGGTGGCACCTTGGGGTGCCTTAAGATGCTTTCAAGGGTGCCATGGGGTACCACACAATGTTAGCATTGTTGGGTGCAAAAATATGCTTCATAAGATAAACCCAGAGATTTCAAATAGGAATTCACAGTGTTAAAATATTCTGACTATAATGTCCAGTTGTGCCCAGTTATGGTAGTTCAGAATAGCATGTTATAGGTCATATAGCACGTCACATTGCCTAAGGCCCCTGACATTACCTGGCCAACGGTTCAATCTCGTAATAGTGTGGTTAAATGAGCAATAAGCTACAAAGTTATTACACAAAATATGTAATAACTTTGCAGCTCGTCCCTATCAGGCCTTAATTAAACATGTGGTCAGTGCTTTCAGTCTCTGGAGCACAACGGAGTCTTTCAAGACTCCCATCTGCTCCAAAAGCTGGGAGTGCTCCATGAGCTCCCACAGAGTCCCAATCAGCTGACTGGAGCTCCCAGCTGCAGGAAAGCATGGCTTGCTGCTTGTCTGTGCAGGGAGAGACCAGGATTGGGTTCTCCCTGAACCAGCAATATGGTGCAATGACAGTGTGGCATGGCAGGACGTCCAACTGTTGGGATCCCACGTCAAATCCCATCATGCCTTTCATTAACATCCATCAGGGGCCAAGATGTAATGGGCAGAACTGTAGTCAATTGCAAGTTCTGCTCTTGGCTGAATGTTCTGCCTTAAATGCATACAGTTGTTTGGCTGTTCAAAATAGGAGTCTAAGAATAGTCCACTCACTCTGACCTTAGCCCATCCACATTTGTGCTGTCACAACAGAACTAGCTTCTGTTAACATACAAGGGAATCATTCTCACAGACCTACCGGGCCATAGTAGGGATGGTCAGGGTGTTCCCCATAGTCATTCCTATTAAGAAAGAAAACACGTTCACATTAATGTCAGTTTAGCTTCACTTTAATCTCAGCATCTTCAACATGACCAGTTGGGCTACAAAGATGAGAAGAGTCTTCTCTACCCCTGGGCCAACTATTCCTGTAGCAACTGTCTTGTAAGAATCCATTCAAGGCTCTGCAGAGCTGTACCCCTCCACAGGGTCTGGAGGTCAGTCCATTTCCAAAGGAGTTCTACCTAAGCTCTTTGCTGAATCAACAAAAAATGTATTGGGTTTGGTACCCACCTTCCCAGGCTCTGTGAAAGGACAAAGCCATATTTATTAGTCTCTTCCAATAAGAGCTGATAACTGGACATCAGCAATAAAGGGTTCTTTATACACCCCAGGGAATTATGCAAAGAAAAATTCAAAATTATGCAAAATTAATTACTTTTATTTTGTTACAAATTAAATATAACACTATTTGACCCTTCTTTAGAAATACATGCAGGTACTTTGTATGGCTAGGGGGTGGGTGTGGGGTGTGAATTTGTGGGAGAGGTGTGGAGTGGTGTGGGTACTGGAGTATATGGAGTTGG